TACCATAACATCTACAACTATTTTTTAAATTTATTTTTTAGTAAGAGGTGGACACAATATCTTTATTTTTTTATCTTTATGTGGTGCTGAGGTTTGAACCCAGTGCCTTACTCATGTGAGTCGAGTGCTCTCCCTCTGAGCCACAATCCCAGCCCATCCACAACTAATTTTTAAATGGTTCAGCAATATCTGAACAGAAAATCTGGAGTTCAAATTTTAATCTTTTGTCTTTCCTTTGTGTGCATGCCTCTTTGTGTGTGTGTGTGTGTGTGTGTGTGTGTTTTACAAGTGAAGGAGAAAAAGAGGGGGAGAAGGAAAAGGAGAGAGAAGGAAAGACAGGAGACACAGGGAGAAAGAGGCGATGAAAAAGAGATATAGGCGATGGCAGAATATTAGCAATTTTTGAATTCAGGTGAATACAGGTCCTCGTTCTACTAGTCTTTCAATTATTGCATGTATTCAAGTTTTTCACAATAAAAAGATGATCAAAGAAATTTTCTATCCTCTATTAATTATAATTTTAACTCAATATTGAAAGGAAAGAATTAGTTTTTAAATCTGTTTAAATAAAAAATAGAAAAGTTCCATGAAAATTCACTGCATGTTTTTAAATAAGTATCAGATATGCCTGGTGAAAAAAAAATCTAGAGTTCAAAATTTTTATCCTTTGTCTTTGCTGCATTATTATCACACTTCCATGTACACATCCATTTATACAGGTTAATAATGAATCTCAAATTTAATATACCTATCTATCTCTGTGCCCATTACACAATTTTTCTCTTGTTTTAGTTTTACTTTTACTATGAAACCACCATATACTAGAGTATTAATCCAACAGATCAATTTTTATAAGAGAAACAAATATCATCCACATGCTGATATTTTCAGTGAAAAGTCAAATTCACTACTGTTTAAATGACAAATTAGGATGAAACAAAGAAACTTACACAATAAAATGTGAGAGGAAAGAGGGAGACAGATGACACAACGTTCAACACTGAGCACCTTTGTTATGACACAAGCATTTGCAGTGATGGAACAGTGAGAGAGCCAGTGTATAAACATGCATTTAGTGCCTACAAATATTCCTCAAAGCATGTATTTTTTTTTCCTGCACAGTAATCAATGCTGCTGGTGAACAGTACATAGGACATGTTTGTTTTGTATACACAATGTTACCCATAAAACTATATTTCAAGTGACTTCAGTTTACCTGAGAATACAGGGATCAAATTTTTACTGTAGAAAATGGATTTCATTTAAGGAAGTAGATCTCTATTGGCAAAAAAAAATAGTCTTTGCATGAGAATATAATGGTCAAAAAAGAATAATGTTTCATAATGGTATTCCAAAATTCTCTACATTCACTTTGGAATGTTTAAATGTAAAAATTTTGTACTGTAGTCTCATGTAAATTATAAATCTGTATACAAAGAATATGAATATTGTTCAAAATACCTAAGTATGAAATGAATGAGTAAATGTGTTATATTCTGTTTTTAAATACAAATCACTGCAACAAGTTATGATCCTCCATAAATTAATATTCACAAACTTAAATTATTAAATTACCAAAGATAACTGTCACAGATAACAAAAACCATAGAGTACACAAATTGTTATGCCATTTCTACAATTCTGTTCAGAAAAGTAACTCAGTCTAGATAGAATTCATTTGTGAGACTCCTGGAAATGGCAATCATGAATGGGACTCTGACTGCCTACCATAAGGATACGTGGACATATTCACACTTGCTCACTCAGGACTGTGTTTGCCAAAAACATTTCAATATAGTGAAAGTGCATATTTAACATTTCAGTAATATTTGATTTAGTAAAACAAAAAAAAAAGTCAAAATGATAAGAAGTGCCCCAGAGTGGAACAATCTGCATCAGAAAGTTGTGAATTCCCTTTCAGAAGCAGTGTTCAAGCAAAGACCATACAATCTTCAATTGTAGGATTGTGGTGGAGATACAGGCACCAGATGGGATCAGGTCAGGTCATTAAAACGCTAAAAATCTGTTACTCTGTGACTCTAACAGATTTAAAAAAAAAAAAAAGGATGAATTTTGAATTTTTTGTGGTTTTGAAAGTATAAATAGTTTTCATTTTCAGAATGCTAGTTACCTCAATTTTCTGATGTTTATTTTTCTTTTCTGGAAAGACAATAAATCTTAACATGTTTTTCTCTTATGAGCCCTTGATATACACATTAATTCCTAATTATACATATTTGGAAAATAAATAAATTATCCATTTCACAATAATAGAATATTATGGTGGTGTTAGAAATATATTCACTAAAAAGAGATTGATCTGCAGATAGATCTAAATAGATCTAAGTTAATTTAGAGGTGAATTAAATAAATGATCTGCTATGAAAAATAGAGGAAGTGAAATTTCCTCTACTAGTTTTGTTTTGTTTTTTTATGCGTTCTTTTTAGATACACATGACAGTTCCTCTACTGGGTTTATGTTGGTTTTTTTTAATGTTTGGCTCAGAATTTTTTTATTTTTTATTATTTCTTACATACATCACAATAGAGGAGTGCATTACATTCAGAATTTTTTGCATTGCAATTCTTAATACACCTTTATACCACAATTTTTCAAATCTCTGTTTGTATATAAGGTATGTTGACACCAAATTTACATCTCCATACGTGAATTTTGTATAATGATGACCGTCTCCTTCCACTATCCTTGCTATCCTCTACTGGTTTTAAAAGTTACTATTAGTAAACCAATGGAACTTGAACAGGAGAAATGGAATTGACGTGTTTTCTTATAAATATTTTAAATCAATTTCCAATATGTCATTTTAATGCTTTCTTCCAAAATTGCTTTGTTTGATTAGCATCAGCATAGTATACAATGTGAATGTTTTTAGGATTCTGCAAATATTTCTCATTTTCCAAATTAAAGTTTCACAAAAGAAGTCAGTCCTGATAGACAGAAAGATGAAGAATAAAGTTGTTTACACTAGGAAAAGAGTGTTGATATGAAATGGAAATTGTGATCACCCTGAATTCTTACTCTGACAGTGACTTGAAAACAATTGTTATGGAATTTTTTGCACTTCATTTTATTTCTCTACAACCAAGGAAAAGATAAATCACTCAACCCAAATATATTATTGGCCCACAAGACACTGATTCAATTCATCATCCAGAGATTTAATTCTGCTTCCAGCTGGATTTTGACTATTGGCAACTTCTCTAGCAATTTTCCCCCATGTGAATTACAATCTGGGAATTTCAGCATCTCATTTTTTAACTTGTCAGTTTTCTCTCAATCAAGTCTCCTTTCAATTTTTCTTCTAGAATAATTTCATGTATCAAATTCAAAATTTTTATACTAGTTCTAATTTGACATATGTTGTCTCTGATAGTCACATAGAAGTGTTAAAACTACCAGAGATGTAAAGAAAACATATCCAAAAAAATCTGCTTAGTTTCACTTTATGTAAACTTATAGTTGGTTTTATTTTTATCCTTAACAATTTATTGATATTTTTATGTCAAGGACAATCTTCATGAAAGTTTTTACTATAGTATCTCCTATTTTTACTTCAAACTGCTATTTCAGTTCAAAACCAGGAATCCCCATGTGTCACTGTTAATAAAATATTAGAAATAAAAATACATATTTGTATTCTAACTTCATGAAATGTTTTTATTTTCATTGGTGTATGTGTGCGTGAGAGAGAGAGAGAGAGTGTGTGTGTGTGTGTGTGTGTGTGTGTGTGTGTGTGTTGCTAAAGATCAAACCTACGGGCCACCCATATGCATGCTAGGCAAGTCCTCTACCACTGAGCTACATCCTCAGTTTCAACATTCATTTTTTTTTTTAATTTCAACATTCATTTTTTATGTAAACAAAAAACAAATGTTAATTTCATGTCTCCTTCATATCTATTACTTCCCTGTTTGGAATTCTTAATAAGTAGCTATGTTACCATCTCAAAGCTATATATTTAGATACTTTGACTTAAATTACTATACATTAACAGAACTTAAAATCCTTTTACTCTTTTTTAAATTTTAGGTGTAAAACCAAGGCGATTGTGATAAGATGATAATATTTGTGTTTAGGTTCAACAAATACACACATAAAATATATTTTCAGATACTTAAATTATTTGAAAGTGATTCAATTCCCTACTAATACTAGAATAGAATTTTCCTTCTTGAAGGTTATCAAGAAGACTCATTAACTATTATTCAAGGACAGAGCTTACTAATGAAAGGTAAAAAATTTTGTCACATTCACATGTTAACTTACAAAGATTGTTTCATCTTCCTTATACTCATCCCCAATTCAAAAATTCATGACCAGTTTTATAAGACAAGAGATTCTAGTCTTTTATTTCTTCCCTTAGATATTTGAACACCATTATATGCAATTATATCCTAATATTTTAGAAGATAATAAAATTTTAAAGCAATTTTACATTTAAAAAACATGTTCAAGTTACCAATAAGCATAAGGACATAAAAAATTAAACTTAAACTAATATCTGTGGGGCTGGGGTTGTGGTTCAGTGGTAAGGTTCAAACCTCAACACCACATGAAAATGAAATAAAGATATTGTGTCCACCTACAACTAAAAAATAAATATTTAAAAAAACTAACATCTGTTACTTTAAACTATATTTATCAAGCATTTAATAAGAAATTCTAAGTATATACCTTTTATATGATTCAAGGACTGGGATATATAAACTCAAAACTAAAATTATCACCATTGAAAAAACATTCTGACGTGAGACCTTTGAAATAGTCATCATTAAATTTTTATTTCAAAGATCCTCATATATTTTAGGTACACACACAATATATGATTTTTTTAAAAGTAACCCATTTCTCATTAGCAGTTTTAAAACAACATTAATTTGTTTATATAAACTAGAATTTAAGGATAAATGTAAATAACTTTATGTGCTATTAACACACAGTACAACTTCTCTAACATAAAAGTAAACTTAAATTATACTTCTTGAAACCAATCATGCTTAGAACATGCACAATCAAAATTTTATTAGCATTACACAGTCTAAGGAGGTTCCATTTGTTACAGTGATCTGCCATTAATTGCACACAGTATTTCGGAATAACACTTTGGAATATTCTTCCCAGTCTCTCATAGTGGCAAGTTCTGGAACATTTAAAAAAGATTTGAGTTGGAAAAAACAAGCATCTTGGATATCTAAATAAGATTAAACAAGTTATTAAACCAAAATAAATTTTTCTATTGAAATAGGTATAATTGATTTTGTGTGCTTTCTATAATTTTTTCCTATAAAGTGTCCTTTAAAGACACTTCTAGAAATGTTTTGAGATAGTTGCATTATTGGAATAAGTTTTTAGCCTTCTAAAGTGATCACCTTAAAAAACAATCTTCATTTGGAACCTTTTTTTTTAACTTCATTACTTCCCATCTCAAACAAATGCATAACACTTTCTTATTTATATATTAATAAAGGAAAAGGAGATCACTGGTAAATTCCATAACTGATTCTCTAAATATTAAGATGGTTTTACAACAAAGATGGTTTTACTCAGGAGACAATAATGAGATCAGGGCTCCTCAATCTTAGCATAATTGACTTTTGGGGCTGGATAACTGTGAGGGCTGTCCTGTGAGTTTTAGGTTGTTTAACAGCATCCTTGGTCTTTACTCACTTGATGCTATAGTAACCCCCTAAAATGTGACTATAACAAAATGTCTCCAGATGTTACTGAATGTCCTCTGTGGAGGCAAAATCATCTCTGAGAACTACTGTATTAGGTGATTAGAAATTTACTTCTGTCCCCAAGAGCATAAAACACAATAAAATATATTTAGAGAACATTGTTACACATTCTAAATTTCCAAAATTAAATAAGTATAAAGAATGAATGCCATTATAATTTTTCTGGCTACACTCACCTTCAAAGACATCTTTGTGATAAGATGATATACTGAACATACGCAAAATCTGTTCTTATAAGGCACAGCCTAGTAATATTAAAATATTTAGGTACATATTAATACACTTAAATACGGATATAGATATGATATAGATAAAATAATGCTTTAATGAGCCTGTAAATCCGTACATACTGTTAGCAAATAATGCCTTAAAGTAGTGTGACCATTTAATATCTGTTCAACAACCTCAAACTTAAAAATAGGGTGCACTTTATTATAATTGACACATAAATTTTAAAATGACCTCCTGTGAGGGAAAACTATGCAAAATTAAGGTGGTAACCATTTACATAGAACCCTACTATAATTTTAAACTCACCAATCAATTGTCTCTTGTGTTATTTGCTTTCTCTGCAACATCCAATTTCTGTATAAGTGTTGTCTTTTTATATCTACCATGACAGTTACTTTGTCAAGACCTAGCCCTCAAATGAAGTGAAAAATACATTTCTTGAGATTTAAAATTTCTTCCACTTACCAATTTTATCTAAACATTACATACTTAACACAATAAAATCACTTGTGACAAATTAACATTGAAGCACTCTTAAACACTCAACTGCAATAATATTATAGTGAAATAAAACAATAAAATAGAATCACTACTAACAATAATACCTCAACAAATTCTTTCCTTCTTTTACTTCAAATCAACTTACCTCATTTCTGACTTAGCCAATATAATATGTTCATAGATTACTGTGCCGGCCATTTCTACTGAGCTAAGACCAACTACAAGGCTCGGTTTAGAGCTACTAGAAAACATTACTACTAAAAACCCTTATCGCAAATGAATAAAAGATTCCCAATGGTTAGAATTCCCTGTATACTGAAGAACACCATAAAGCATAAGTTATTAAGAGTATAATATTATGGATCATGACTGTCCCTAAATAAAGCTGAAAGCTTGTCATAAAGTTGAAATGATATCCTGGTAAATTGATAAAATTAATATACAATTTTAAGTCACAATTGCTTAACCATAAAGAGGCCTCTTGGCTGTACTGCTTTTCTTTTAATTAAATTAAAAAGTCTCCTCTGTAGTTATTGATGTGTGAACATATTTCCATAGAGAATTATTTAAATGAAGAGCAAAGCATTCAAATACAGTCAAATATGATTGTTTGAAGATACTATGCATTCATTCCATAGGAGAGTATTCAAATATAAAATCAAAAGTAAAGCATGCCATAGGTAATTACTAGTGGCTCAGCTGTCAGTTAGTCAAATCAACTAAAAGACCAATTATTCTAAGGCTACCCAGGATGGAAAAGCTCATTGTTGACATTAGGTTGCATTAGGTTGTTTTAAGATAGTTATTGCTCCATTTTATAATAATTCCCCAACAAGAACATTTGGTATGTAACTTCATATGTAATTAATCATCCCCAAATTTTAAATTTTTAACATTTGGAGACAAATATTACTTTTAAGTAATATGAAAGTAAGATATAAAATGAAAATTGAAAATAAAATTTCAGATTATTATAATATTTTTCTAATTAATTTTTTCCAGTTTTTTCATCAATATAATTCAAGAAATTCAACTTAATATTCATTTATATAGCTAACTTCTGAGCCTGGAATTGTACTTTAAGATAAGTTGAAATAATACATTAAGAATACTAAAAGGGACTGGGGTTGTGACTCAGTAGTAGAACACTTGCCTAGCATGTGCAAGGCTCTGGGTTCAATCCTCAGCAGTACATAAAAACAAATAAATAAAATAAAGATTTTTTTAAATAATACTAAGAAAAAATAGGCAGTGTTTTTAAATTTGAGAAAGCACTGAACAACCACATATAGAAAGACTCAGGTAAATGCCAAAAGAAAATGACATATGTGTTTAAAGTTGAGATTATATATTTATAAATATGTCTTACTTCTCAGAATTAAAATTGTACAGAAAGAGATAAAATTGTATAGGAGCCCTGGTACAGTAAATTTTTTCTTAAGATCTGCCTGTATTCAGTACCAGGTTATTCAAAATATTATTTCAGTGAGAAATTTTTGGGGGTGGTCACTCTCTCCTTATTGCTATCTGGTGTCCCTGTTAGCCACCCTACTGGGCATTTCTCACCAGGTGGAACTTATTGCCTTCCTGTCTTCTCTGTGGTCAGTGTTCCTTGTAGCTGACTCTTTGCTCTAACCCCAGAACCTAGCTCCTAATAAATGTGTAGTGGGTTAAATCAAATATGGTATTTTAGATCCACAAAAAAGCATGATTTTAAACTCTTCTCCAATCTAGTAGTACAGTGAAATTTCTGGAGATCTTCTGAAACATTTAAATCAGGATCTTTGGGGATGAGATGCTCTGGAATATGTATTGTTTTAAAATCTTCCCAGATATCAAGGGTTTTAAGAAGGAGGGGAAAGAAGAGTTGTTTTCTAACATGTATAAAGTTTCAGTTCTGCAAGATGAAAAAGTTCTGGAGATCTGTTTCACTACAATATAAATATACTGAACACTACTGAATTATGCACTTAGAAATGGGTTAAGATGGTAAGTTCAATGATATGGGTTTTGCCATAATAAAAAGATTTCTTTTTAAATCTTCCCAGGTGATTTTACTTGACCACCAAGGTTAAGAGTCACTGTATGTATACTGGGTGTAAATGGAGAATGCTAAATTCTCTTCCACAACCTATTCATTTATTGAGCAGAAGAAATAGGAAAGAGCAGACTTCACAATCATTCTCAACCAATTTCCCAAACTACTGAAAAGTATTTGTTCGAAAAACAAATGTAAGTTTTGGAAAATCTAAATACCTTACCCAGAATCAATATGCACATTTGATATTAAAATTTTTAAGAAATCCTATACTCCAAAAAATCCATCTAACTAACCTTTTCAAGACTTATTTGACTACGTCGTTATGAAATAATGCCTCCCCCTCAAAATGGTTTCTGTTCTTGAAATGGAGTACTTCATGGGACAATGCCTCTCAATTTGTTGACGTTCACAACACACTTTGAATATTAAAATCCCTAACAGCAGGATTGAAGGGATAAATGACTCTAAGTAGCAATAAACTAGACAGCAAAGATTACAAACCATCACTAATGTGATATAACAATATTTGCAGGGTCTAAGCATGCATTCATTCAGTCGTTGCGTTATAGTACTTTGTCACCTTGGGACACTTCGATTTTGTGGTAGAGCTACTGACCGCTCCAATCTCCACCTTATAAATCCATGAGGTAAAGTTCTTACATTCCCCAAAGTACAATGGCACTGAACTGACATCATACCTGTCTCTTACCTTTGCTCACTTCAAACTGCTTACCATATGAAATCCTGCTTCCAATCAATGTTTCTTTTATTATACATCACCATAACGCATTGTTTATGCGTTGCAAAACAATACATTTCATGGGTTGACCAAAATTTGGTCTTAAAGTACACAGTAAGCCATGAGACACAGCTTGAGAACCTCAGCCAGAGAAGTCTAGACCTGATTTAGGTGAGTTTTCTGCGCCCACATGTATGCATGTATAATATACACTCTGGGTGGCGTTGGGGAAGTACTGACCTTATATCCTTCTTTCTTATTCTTTAATCAGCACTTTTCTGAGAAGTGTACCTGCAACAACTTCCCTGATTCAATATAATAACTTTCACTAAAGGAAATGGCATTTATATTCTAAAATGAGAAACAATGTAGATAAGAGAAAGCAAGCCTCTTTTTAATACTTTATAAAGATACTTTATTCCCTTAGAATAGAGAAAGAATACCAATATTCTTTGATGGTATTTGGTCAAGACATAAATTAGATGAAAACAACAAGGTAGAATATAATTATAAAATCTGAGAACCATTAAATTCTGTGGTGTATTTGAGAGGTACATAATTGAGTTCCATTAGAGGAACCAGGCTGCAAACCATTATGTTCTTTCTTTCACAGTGAATCACATGTCAGAATAGCCACCAAAAAAAGGCATCATGATAACACTGTTTTTCTCTAATTGTTATTTTCAAACATGCTTGATAGTACAATCAACGCTGTAGTATGGTCATTTAGTAGACGTGAAATGATAACACCACAACATTAAATAGTACTGACTCGCACTTCCACTGACCAGGATCAGGAAAATCAATCCCAAAACTTTTAAATCATTTGGAATCTACAATTCCTCCCTTACCCCATAAATAATGATGACATTCGTAATATAATGTTAAATACTGAATATATATCTCAGATAATTTCAATGATAAATGATCCAGTGAAACCTGATTGAGAATAAAATTTCACCACAGTTCTTTTTTCTTTTGCCACATGAAGGTTAATAAATTAGTTTTTAATTTTTTTTTACTGGGTTGAACTGTCAAATTAGGAGAAAAAGAGAGTGAATAAAATTGTATACTCACCTGCACTAAAAAAAATGGGGGCTAATTATTTAACTGGTGTGACTAGTAAACAGAATTTTTTCACTTTTTAAAATACGGAAACTGAAACTGATATAATTCTAATATGTCCCAGTTCTGTTTATATGTATAATTCTGACACCTCTTTTGGAATGTTAGGTAAATCATAGATAATCAATTAAAATACAACACATTCAACTGATGGATTGAGAAAAGATAAGTAATATCAGAAAACCCAACCATAGTTCCTTTTGTTGTTCCTGAAGAACCAAAAATTCAGTCACCTTATGAAGTTGAGTCTAGTTATAAGTGTTGTAGATTTTCTATCATTTAAAAGAATGCACAATATTAGAAATGCTACCTAATGAAGGCTCAGGGGCCTTTCCTTCTTAAACCATATGAGATATCTAATTGAACTGTTGTTTCATTGGAATTTGACTACTGAGACTTGATAAAATCTGGGCTGTTATTTCCACCCATTAAAAAATATAAAAGTCAAGCAGTGAGTCTCTTCTCTTAAACAATGAGCTTGTCCTTCTTAAGCTACATTAAACTACATTGTCTGTTCACATGTGAATGGAAAAGAAAGAACAGTGATAATTTTCTTCAGACTATTTTATATTTCTACACACACACACAGACACACACACACACAGCAT